TTCGTCACTTCCAGTATTTTCGGAAAAAACAGGAAGTGACGAAACAGGGCTAGTTTTTGGCCTGCAGAAGCCTGTGGAAGCTTTCCTCAAGCCTTTGGGAGGTCGAAAAAGGCCTCAAACCAGCCAAAAATCAGCTGTGAGGCACGCACATGCGCAGTGAGGTAAGTTTGCCTGCAGCTCGCGTGCCGGCCCAAATGGCTCTGCGTGCAACACGTGCCATAGGTTCGCCATCACGGATCTAGGTCAAAATTGAATGGCCCTCTTTCAACAGAGGGGGAGGGACACCACACTACCCATCTCCTGTCCACAACACAGTCCTTTCAGCGGGTCCAAATAGGCTCCACGCCCATTTGCACCACTCAGGTGACCCTGGGAATATAGATAGACCTCCAAGTGGCCTCAACGACTGTCAGAGAGAGTACAGATGATCAGATGACTGTGAGGAATCCTTCCATCCTCCACCCTTCAGTCAGAACCGAAGGAAGCTTCTCAGATGAGAAGCGAAACATCTTCAAAGGAAAAAAAAAACCAGAAAAGTCCAGTCGCCTCTTGAAAACAAAAACAAAAACAAAAAAACCTTTGGAATATTATTTTTGAAAATTAAAAAAAAAAAAAGCTCAGAAGAGAAACTAGAAAGAAATTTCTGTTGGTTTTCAGATCCTCCACTCTCTCTCCGTACACATCGTGGCTAGCGACGATTTCCGACACGGATGCGTTGTTGGCTTCCCTGGGGAAGAACGGAGTGGCGACTGTGGACATGGGGGGGAATGTCAGGCTGTGGGAAACCAGCCTGGATAGTCTGGAAAAATCCCTGCAGGAATGGAGGACCATGATTGGCCAAGAAGATGGCAGGCCTGTTCAGGTGAGAGGAAGGCTTTTGAACGCAGGTCATCCTGGATTTACAGCCGCTTTATTGTTTCACTCTAAATTACACTTCGCTCTGTTTTTCATTCTAAATTATTGCAGAAACCCCTTGCCTTGTCAGACTGTTCTGACCTCAGCTTCCCCCAAAAAGCACAAAGCAGACTCTTTGTCCCGGCAAAACCCCTTTTTCTTAAATGAAGGTGAATTTCTTGCCTCCACCTTCAGCCAAAGGCCTGGCAAGCAGTTTTTCCAGGGTGTAATAAGACAGGATTCGGACCCGATGGGGCGATCCTAAAGAAGGATGCAGGAAAAGCAAAGACGCTCCCCGTCATTCTTAAGCCGGACTCGCCTCGCGCGTGATGCATCGTGTCAGTCGGACCTTGCACGCTCCTGCTTTTCTAGGTCGTGAGAAAAAATACAATAAATTCAAAATTTCTGGTCGCCTCTCATATTTCATAGTTGGTCTTGTTCCATCCTTTCAGTTTTTGGGGGGTTAATCGAGAAACATTAGTGCCATCTCCTGGTCAAAAAGTAGTACCTTAGAAAACTTAGCAACATGGATTTTGGGCTCCGTTGTGGCTGTAGGACTACCTGCAAATAAAATTGAATCATTAAAAATACAATTTACCCTGAAAATACGACCTACTCTGAAAGTAAGCCCTAGCTTGATATATTTTTTTGACACGTGCGCCCAATATAAGCCCTACTCCCCAAATAAGCCTTAATTAAGATCTGGCTGCAGCCTTGCCTGAAATAATAAACCGGTTTAAGCTTTCTGCTCATTGATACCCTGTTTCCCTGAAAATGCGACCTATCCCGAAAGTAAGCCCTAGCTTAATTTTTTTTACACGTGCACCCAATATAAGCCCTACCCCCCCAAAATAAGCCCTAATTAAGATCCCACCCACTCCAGAGTGGAGGGGTAAAAATTAACCTAGGCTGAGGATGGAGGGTGGTGGAGCTGCCCTACTACTTACCTTTGGACAGTTGTAGCCAGACCTCGCACACCCTGACACCTGCCTTGCCGGCCCATTTCTTCTGCATTCGGAAGGCTGGCAAGGCTTTCCTGAAGGCCTCTGGGGCTGATAAGAAAGCTCTGGATCGATCCTGAGGCTGCAGAGGCCTTCAGGAAAGCCTTGCCGGCTGCAGAAGAAGAAGTTCCTGAAGGCCTCTGACAGCAAAAAGGAAACCGGGGGCGACATGCTCAAGTGAGGTTAGTCAGTGGATGACATCCCCCGAAAATAAGACCTGGTGCCTTTTTTTGGTGGCCAAAAAAATTATAAGACAGGGTCTTATTTTGGGGGAAACACGGTAATAAACGAATAAGTTGTAAAAGAGAACAGAAACAAACAATTCAGAGGGCAGACTCGATGGAAAGTTGGGCTTTCTTCCACCATCTTCTTTTCTTCTTCTTCAACAACAACAACAACAACAACGCTGTGAGATAAGATGGTTGGGCTGAGAGACGGGGATTATTTTCTGAGGAGCCTGTTTATTCATGCATTGGACCATCAGTTCTTTTAAGCCAAGGAATAATATACTCTGTCAAAGATTGTTCCCACATCCTTTCTCATAAATGTGGCAAGATGGATTCCCCTCCAATTCTCGTGTTCTTCATGTGTTGCTTTCCCTCAACAGATAACCATCCAGAGAGACAGCGGTTTGGACGTCAGCTCCCCTAAACATGGGAAGATTGATCCAGACAACGCCCCTCACGTGGGAGGAAATACCTGGGCGGGTGGGACAGGTACCAAATCGTTTTTCATTCCTTTCCGTGTAGCTTCAGGTTTTCTTTGGTATAAAAGACGGGTTTAGGGGCCTTGGTGCCCTCTTTCCTTGCAACTTGGTTTTTTTTCTTGCAGACGTTTCATTACCCAACTAGGTAACATCAGAAAGTGCTAGAAGAGAGGAGGGATTGTGAGGAGGAGGAGGAGGGGGAGGAGGAGGAGGAGGAGGAGGAGGAG